TTCTATCCATTTAATCATCTTGTGACACATCAAAGTTATCTTGCAACTCATTGGCAATCCCCTAGCTTGGGAATATTGTTATACCACTAATATAGAAGTTCATTGTTGAAAATAAATCTTAACTATGATGTTTTTCATTCATGTGAAAGTGGTTACAGCCTTCTGTGTTTTCTCCCTGAACAGGTAAATGCATTCCTGTCCTTTGTGATTCCCATGGTGGCCATATCTGCACTGAACGGGGTCATAGCCAACCAGCTGCTGCGAATGTTCCGCGAGGCAGAGCAAGAGAACCGTGTGTGCATCATCGGGGGAAATCCCACCATTCTGAATGTCACTGTGGAGCCCAACCGCGCTCAGTCGCTTCGCCATGGAGTTCTTGTTCTACGTAAGTTAATATCTCCCCACTTACACACACACATACTGTACATACAGAAGGAGAGATGGTTATTTGAAGGTGCTCCACTAAAAGATTTACTGTGTTATATTTTCCAACATATCCCATATCATGTCCTACTAGTATATAGAGACCGTTTTGACCACATATCTTTTGTAGTGCAAGTGTTAATGCATCCTGGGCCACAATGAAGGACCGCCCACTCAACTGACATCCTGTAAGTACAAATGAAACATGCTGTCTGCTTGGTTCACTGTAATGCAAATCATGTGCTTGGGCACTGTTACCTGCTGAGATTAAACAGCTGGTGTCTGTGAACACGCTGTCTGTTTCAATTGATTTGACCACTGAACTAGTCATTGCAATATCCCCAGACTCCCTTTAGAAATTGCACCATTTTGTGAGTTATTGAGTGAGGAGAAGCTTTTATAAACTTTGTGAAACTTTTGTTCATTATTTGGGCCTTCTTGTAAATTCAAAAAATGTTACACATTAAGTTATTTCTTACTGAGTTGTTTCCCAGCGTGTTGGCTGGACGGCGGTCCAACCTCCTCTACTGTCATCCACTATGAGTGACTGTTGGACTGACAGCCTGTCAGCAGCCTCGCGACAGGAGAGATGCTTGCAGTGGGAGCATGGCGCACACTTTTACTTTCTCTGGCATTAATTAATGTTTTTTTCATCATCTGAGATGTGAAAACGAAAAAAGATTTTCACACAGTTAAAAAAGCAAAAGTGTGTGTCCTGCTTATAAAGTTCAGTTATAAAATCCCACAATGCAGTAGTGTTTTTCCTCCAGGGCTGCTGACAGCGCAGGTAAAAGCCTGTGTGTTGTTGAACTGAAAACAAAGAGTAATAATGGACATTGACTGACACAGGTTAGGGTTAGGGTTAGTCTGCAACTTCACAGCTAGATGACACTAAATCCTACACACTGGTTCTTAAGCCTTGAAGATCTAGTAGAAAATAACCTTTTGTCTGCTCTTGAGTACACGCAACCACGCAGCATGAGAAGCAGACAGCATGATCAGTCAGCATTTATTTACACATTCACACTTTAAAGATATCAAGACCTTATACATTACCGCAGTCGCTCCATTAAACTGTCTAAAGCTGCACTTCACTCACTCCAACTGTGCAAATGCTCCAGAAGTAGTGGTGATCCCAGTCAGTGGCTGATTTATTATCCGGCCAGAACCGACAGACACAGCTGTCTACCAACCTCCCTCAAATCATACTGCAACAACAACACTTATGATATTACTATTGTTTAGAGTTAGGCCAACTACATTTTCATAATTACTCAATTCTAAGCCATAATTACAACCTGGACAATCCCTTCACATGCAGCAAAATATTTATCATGTAATATGTGATACCAGGAGATCAGATATTTAGAGTAGTGTTACTATGAAAAAGGACAGAGGCATATTTGCAGTTTCAAGCTTTTGGTTTTACTCATGAGGAGCCAGAGCCATCATGAGGTTGAATGAATTGCCATCAAAATTATATACGCATATAGTTTTGGTGATCCAGTGACTTTTAATTAAAGTTTCCCATCAGCCTCAACTGTGTTTTTGTGTTTATTGCTAATAAGCAATTGTAAGCATGCTAAAATGCTAAACTAAGATGGTGAACATAGCATTAACATTATATATGCTGAACATCAGCATGTTGGTGTTGTAATTGTGAGCATGTCAGTATACTGACATTAGCTTTTAGCTCAAAAGCTCACCAGCAATGTTGTAAAACCATACTACATATTAACTCTAGGTAGGTTTTTAGTATACACATTCTAAAAAAAATAGCCTCAAACAAGACAGAATGCATATTAAATATGGTTGATTTTTGAGTGTGCTGTTGATGCATACTATTCTCCCACAATGCAATGCACAAAGGAAATGGAGGAGCTCTCATAGCTGGAAAACCTGCTAAATGTAGCCACAAGCAGTTCTACGGACAATGGTTCTGTAACACAAAATTAAAGCTGCAAGCAACAATGAGCAGGTTTCAGGCTTAACAAAGCTGAGCAAGTCATTTCTGCTAGTTTAATTCAGTTTAAAGGAGTGAGACCAATCACACACACTTTCATCATTATAAATTATCATTACCAAGATCCACGTTTTTGTGATGCCCCCTATGGGGCTTGATCAAAGTGCTTTGGCACACCTTCTTTCCAAACAATGAATGAAGAAGCCCCACCACCACCCCAGCATCCACCTTTAGGCTCCGGCTAGGGGTTTAGGGCATTTGCTCATCACTCGCCAATATCTCTATGTAAACATATCTGCGGGAAATGATGAGGTCGGAGCCTAGACAC